GTGGTCAGGGAGGAGGGGCCTCTTCTGCTGAGGCTCAGCCTGCAGCATTGCCAGAGTTCACCGTGGGAAGAAGAAAGGAGGAACCCAAATGCTCCCCTTACTTGTCTGCAGTAAAAACTTCACCAGTGTTCAGGTTGAGCATGAATCCTTGCTCTGTGGTTTTCCATGCCTAAATATCCTAAGAGGGGGTTACCCACCTTTCCGATCCATACACTGTACACTGGCAAAATGTTTGTCCCAAGGAACCCCTCTGATTCCAAACTCTGGCTCAGGACACCCAGTCCCCAGGCACAAGAGCCCAGCCCCATTGGGCTGCCGTCCTTCCCAATACAGCTGTGGTCTCACAGAATCACAGAATCACAGTCTCCTCCATGTCCTGCTGGGGTTGTCTTTTGTCTTCTGCTGGAGAAAGAGCTAGCCATGGGTTTCCTCTGTCTGCTCTGACTCTGGCTTTCTGATGTTGAAGCTGAAGGGTGAGACCCAGACCAAGTCTGGAAGTATTCTGGATCTCCTTCGGAAGAAGCACCTCCTGAGGATGACTTTAATCATAATGTGTGCCTGGTAAGTCACCACCTGGTTCTTTCTCTCCTAACTTTCATGTGAAAAGAAGAATGCACCGAGGGTTTTTCACAAATCTAAATTCACTTCACAATTTTGGGGGACATGGGATCATAGAATCAGTAAGTGTATGGAAACTGCTGAGTCACGGCCTGAACCTCTGATTGATCACCTGAGGCGAGCCATGAGTCAGCCAGAGGAGCACAGCTGAAGGCAATTCACCTGTGCTGCCGGAAGGGGTGGAGCTTGGTTGCACCTCTCCTAGACCTATTTAAGAGCTGGCTACAAGTAAGGAAGGGTCTCACCTGGAGATCCCTCCTTCTGGTGTTTTGTGGTGAGCCCAGCATAAGGGTAAGTCTTCCATTTATTCTCTCTTGTTATTATTGTCCATTTTGCGTAACTCTCTTGTTTATTTTTTGATTGTAACATCTTCATATCCATTGATTATAAAGTAAGGTAGGAAAGATCATCAAGTCCAACAGTCAACCCATGCCTCTGACCAGCTGTGAATCGTTATGGAACTACAGAATCGTAGAGTGGCTTGATTTGGAAGAGGCCTCAAGGATCATCAGGTTCTAACCACCCTTCCACAGGCAGGGTTGCCAGATGCTAGATTCAGGACTAGATCAGATATCCCAGAGCCCCATCACATCTATGTATTTGCTATCCTTTCTCTGCAGGCTGGACGAGATACACGTTTGCTGGGCACGGGGAGAAGATGATTATTCTAGATACTGTGAGGGCTGTGGGAAGAGCTGGAATAATTCCAATTTTGAGGGCATCTCTGGACTTCAGGGCAGTTTTGGGTCCCTACAGAAATTCTGGTTACAGCCTGTATATTGCTGAGCATATTGGTGTCCATAATGCATTATCTGGTTTAACTGTGTCCTACAGAACTGTCACAGGTGTTGACCAGAATTAAAATGGAGATTCCTGGACATTTAAACAAATAACTGCATGTCTTCTAACTAGCCTACATTTTTAAAGAAAAAAAATCCATGGAAACTCAACTGATTACCTACTCTGTTCCATTGAATTTCAGGTTTATGGATAGTCTAGTCTACTATGGACTGAGCCTTAATGTGACAGGCTTTGGCCTCGACATTTATCTGACACAACTTGCTTTTGGAGCAGTGGAATTGCCCGGTCGTATTAGCTGCATTTACCTGCTACAGTGGTTTGGGAGGAAAAAAGTCCAAGCTGTTCTCCTGCTGTTGGCTGGCTTGATGTGTCTCATCATTGTTGGCATCCCTGAAGGTGAACAAAACTCTTCCCAACTCAAGGGAGAGGCCCAACTCTTTTTAATTTCTTTCACAACCTGGCCCCCCCATGTGTTTCTAACAATACCCCACCTGTTTCTATCTACTGTTTCCCCACACTGTGTACCTTTGCCCCTGCCCCTGTTGTTATTCGGGTGATGCAAGTAAGGCAGGTTTGTGGCATGCTTTCAAGCTATTGAATCATAGATTCATAGAATCATAGAGGTTGGAAAGACCACTGAGATCATCTGGTCCAACCATCAACCCATGCCTGTGACTGCTCTACACCATGTCCCTCAGTGCCACATCTCCATGTTTCTTCAACACCTCCCTGGGCAGCCTGCTCCAATGCATTAGCACTCTTTCCAAGAAGAAATTTTTCCTAATATCCATCCTGAACCTCCCCTGGTGCAACTTGAGACCACCTCCTCTTGTCTTACTGCTAATTACCATATCTATTATATGTGACATTTTCAAATGAGCATTCCCCAGCAACTTGCAGTGCCTTAGTTAGGAAATGAACAAGGCCTGCGAAGAAACATGGGTTTCCTTTGCTGGTTGTGCAGAGGGTATTTTGCTGAAAAGGATATGCTAGGAGAGGTATCCAACACCTTAGGTGGCAGACCTGCTTGGAAAGTCCATCAGAATCACACAATCATGGAATTGTTTGAGCTGGACAGACCTTTAGAAACCATCTCGTCCAACTCCACTGTAGTGAACAGGGACATCTACTGCTTGATCAGAGCCCCATGCAGCCTGACCTTGAATGTCTCCAAGGACAGGGCGTCCACTGCCTCTTTGAGCAGCCCGTGCCAGTGCCTCACAACCGTTATTGTAAAAGACTTCTTCCTTATCACCAGTCTGTATAAGCTATATCTCCCCTCATTTAGTTTGAAAATATTCCTACACGTCCTACCACAACAGCCCCTGCTAAAGAGGGCTGTCTCCAAAAATCCTACTGCAGAGACCCAAGGTCCTGCAGAACGTTCTCTGTTGGCATCCCTGCAGCCATCTGTTCTCTTTCCCTCAGACCAGGCCGTGGCAATCACCGTCCTGGCAGTCATCGGCAAGTTTGCTGCGTGTGCCTCCTTCTCCACCTCCTATATCTACGCTGCAGAGCTCTTCCCCACCGTCATCAGGTGAGATTCCCCCATACCTTATGGCTTCCCATGATGGTGGGAGCACACAGGGATGCACACTGCAACCCGGGTGCTGGTGGTGAAGGGGCAGGGAGGAGGCACCATGACATAGCCACCACCATGGCTAGCACCTCCTAATGGTGTAGTGCTG